GACACTATAAGGGTCTACCTTCCTACCAAGTGATTGCAGAGTATATTTCTCTCTTTAATTGGGGTGATTGTGTTTATGACCTTTTATTTCGAGTTACTAATGCCAGGGACACCATATTTTTGTACCACATTTTAAAACCACATGATGTGGCAAGCGATGTATAAAACATCCAATGAGATAAAATTATTTATTCACATGGCATGTACACATCACTTGCTTCATCATCTGGTATTAAATGTGGTACAAAACTGTGGCCTCCCTGGTATTATTGTTTCGAGTAGATGATTTTGTTGTAAAATACTTGATGAACACTATTTTTCAAACTTAGGTTAGGGTTCTTTATAAGCATTTGAGTAAGTTAAGAAATCTATATATAAATGTCTTTCATGGCATCAAATGAGGCAAGCCCTCCCATGTTGGAAGATACCTGATCTTTGCTACTAATTACTCATTGAGTATGCTAATTGATACCATTTTATGATGCAGGCGGTTAGGTACCATCATGGGAAAAGGAAAATTTTGGTGAAGATTGCACGAGATCTGTTGATTACCCTAGACCTTATTATGCTTGTAATAAGGGTCTTCATGCTGTATCGGGGCTGCTAGTTATTGAACTTATAGGTTAGCTAGCTCAGGCATTTGTAAAGTTCAGAATATCTCAGTTTCCCAAACATTCTAACAGTGGGCTTTGTCAAAATGGTTTCTTTATAACCCTCATTATGGCATTTTGGTGTTTCTATATTGTGCTAGTAAAATTCTTTGTTTCCTTCGAGGTTGAGGAATATTAGATCCTAATTGGACAATGTATTTTTTTAATAAAATTTATTGCATCTGTTTTGGCTTAGTAGACAGCAGGCAGCAGGCAGCAGTGTTTACTGAACCACAAAAGTAAGCAAATGCTTCCAACAACCTGTTACTGCCTCTTGTAACCTTGTAACCTTGTAACCTTGTTGCATTTCTGATAGAAAAATATACTTTGTATTTGTGTTGAACTATTAAAAGTTTCAGACTAGCAGTTAACTGTGATTATTCAGACTTCAGAGTGCACTGATTCATTCTGCAAGTGCTGATCATTGTACCTGAATTTTTGTTTTTGTTTTTGTTTTTGTCATTTATGAGATAAGAGGGAATTGTGGTGCAAAGTGATAACCTTGAGTTTTGGGGACTTCGATTTTGACCGTTCCACATTCCATATACCAGTAGAATTCAAGGATTTACCACCCAAAAAAAGTCACAATATTACCAATGGGGTGTTAGTAGTGGTCCCGAATTCAGGTTCCCATAGTGCCTGCTTGTGTGTGAGTTTCCTATAGTGCTTGCGTGTATGTGAGTTTCTCATACACACACTCAAGATGCCATAGGAGTTCAAACTTGAGACCTGTTGTCTACAAGCAGTGGCGGATCCATGAATGTTGCAAGGAATGGGCAATATTTAAAAAATTAAAAACTCAACCGAAAAAAAAAACAAAAAACAATGCAAATGTCATTCGTAGTAAATTCAACTTTTAAAAAAGTTTCAAAAATCAAATGATTATATATAAACAAAATATACAATTATATATTCATATGCAAAGTCAGATTGCTTGGGTTTGGAGAGTCCCCTATTTGTCTAACTTCTAATCTGAGTGAAGAAATCCAGCGTGTATGGCTTAATTTCTTGTGTCATTGCCCAAATTATTCATAAGTAAAATTAAGATAAACAAAAGATGTTATTTTCAAGATAAAGAGTGTTTGTAAAATTAAAATAAAAAAATCCGAAGAGCCTATTTTTAGAGTGCTGATAAACAAACCCTAAAATTAACAAAGTACACCCTAATATTTTAATCAAAATGTAAAATTAAGTAAGTACACCCTATTTAACTAACAAAATCAAAAATGTAAAAAACCATTCAATTCTTAGTTTTTCTTGGATTTTAGACTTTCTTACGACTTTTCAGCAACCAAGTGGATTATAAACTTACAAAACATACAACAAACTGTGGAAGGGAAGACTTCAAGACATATTAAGCCTAGAAATTCAATTCCCGTAATTAGATTGCAGCCTCCAAAATGACATTCAAACCAAGGCACATGAAGCTACATCTCAATTATTGTACAAATTATCATCGTCTGTTACCAAAGTTACTTTCAATAACCACAAATTCATTTAAAATGACAATCAAACTCGAATCTTAAAAAGACCCAAAAGCTAATCATCTAAAGGCTCGTTTGGGAATGATTTTAGATAGGCCAATAATCACTTATATGGAAAATCAATTCTCCATGTAATCACTTTAAGTGATTTTCAGTGATTTTATGGAGAAGCACCTCTCATATGTTTCTCTCCAGAATCACTTGAAATCACTAAAGTGATTATATGGAGAAGCGGGGAGAAGCAAGTGGGAGATGCTTCTATCTAAACGTGATTCTAACCTATCCAAAATCACTCCTAAGCAAGCCCTAATTCTTAACACATACCTGACCGAGGTCTCTAGTTCAAGTCCAGAATGGCCCAGCTGTGCCAAGGAAAAGAGTAAAAAAAGCATTTGACACCTACATACATGCTCCACTTAAAACCCAGAAGAATAAACATACAAAAGAAACCAAAAACATCTTCAAATCGTCCCCAATTTCCCAGATCTCCATAAACCAAGAAAGTCAAACATAACAAAAATTATTTCTTTAACAAAAGTCGAACATAACAAGTTTTCATACTTGAAATTAAAAATTAAATAGATCCTTTGGAGTTTGCCAAGATTTGAATAGTAGAGTGGGTGTGTTGGAATCGTAGCTATTCATGGAAGAATATAAATAAATAAACAAGGGAGAAAGAGCAAACTACTAACAATAAGATTCGCTGGATTTTGTTAGATAGATGGAAAACTTCGGGGATAAAGAGGTGGTGTTATTTTGGATAGAGACAGAACCATAAAATAAATAAATAAATAAATACATATATATATATATATTTAACTTACCCTATTCTTTGTCTCTTGGCATCTCTTGGCGTGGAGTGTGTAAGAGCATCTCCAACCGATATGTCAAAAGTGTCACATAGACATTTAACGATTAGAAATAACATCTCATATCACTCCAACCGAATTCTCAAAGATGATGTGGAATGAAGGCTAGAGGTTCAGCTGTTATTTTTGACATCCCAAAAGCAAGATGTCAAATGAATATTTTATTATTTTTTAAAGGCAGCTGGTTGTAACTTTCATTTATTATTTTCATTTATTATTTATTTTTTCTTCTTTATCTTAAATGATTTGACTGTTACAATAATTATTTATTTGACATATCAGGTGGAGTAAAAAATTGTGTAAATGTCAAATTGCCGCATCAGCCATCAAATTTAAATTTGATATTTGGTATTTGACATCTCCCTTGGAGATGCTCTAATACATTATTATTAAGTTCTGTAATTAATATTGAGAGATTTGAAATAGGCTACTTCACAAGAGCACCAAAGTAGTGAAACTGAGACACAATCAAGGAACAATTCTTAGGATTGTGCAGTTTTGATACGACCAAGAACATTCTTGGTTGGTGATGAGTTCCAAACTAAATTCTTGATAATTATGTTAACTTTATTTTTCATTTTACTTTTTTAAATTATATTTTTTATAATTATATTTAGTTATAGTGAATTAACGAAAATACCTTTACACGTTTAACAGAAATTTTAACGGAGTTAGACGTAGGTGGTGAATTGCAACACTTTCACAAAGTTTAGGTGGTTAAAAATAAAAATTAAAAGTTCAGGTGGTAATGATGCACATACCTAAAAGTTTAGATGGTATTTATGCAAAATTCCCAAAGAATTAAAATTTAATTAAATATGAAAACTTGTTTTGTTTTGGTAGAAGTGCTTCCATCTTGTGATGTCTTCATGAGGGTTTACAAGTTATCACCTGATATGGTGTTAGTATTGATTTTGTGAGTGGCATTTCCTAGAGACAAATTAGACTAAGTATAGATGGTAAATTAGTTGTGATGGTGACTGTCAAAATTCCAAGATATGCTCTGAAGGCTCATATATCAATCAACGATCACTAAGGTAAATTCTTCATTCAATCATGCATCTTAATTGTGGTATTTCAGGCATTATTTCAAAGTCACAATCTGTTTAACATTTTGATTAAGAAGACTTTTTATTTTAAGAAAGATTAAATTGCTTTCCTGTTCTGAACTTTAAAAAGTATTCTTTGATTGGAAATCAATTAGTCTGATTTTGGAAAATTAATATATTGATTAGGAAGTAATTGATTTTGTTTCTAGTTTTGAAAACCTTTATAAAAAGCAAGGCTAGGGTTTTCATTAAGATACAACTTTCAACAACCAGAGTATTTCTTGAGTTTTCATATACACAAAAGAAAGTTGTTGTGCTTTATTTTCCAGAAGGATAAATCATCAAGAGTAAGATTATCTTGGTGATTTATTTTTGTATTCATATTGCATTCATTTGCATGTTCGGTGACTCATACGGTTGAGGGCGCCAAGACCGTTGTGGCGGTTTTTCTCTGGTGAGCTTGAATCGATCGTGACCAGTATCAGATTCAACATAAGGAGAGTTGGAAGAACTCCGGCGAGCTTGAAGCAATAGTGATCAGTATTGCGTTCAACATAAGAAGTGTCAAAAGATCATCCCGCAAGAAGTTGAGTTACAAAGTAGTTGGTACGTTGTCTAGAATGTCTAGGACAAGTTTGTATACTTATTGTAATCATCGTTCTATAGTAGATTTGCCTTGGACTATCAGGTCCCGTGGATTTTCCCCATAGGTGGGGTTTTACCACGTAAAATAACTTCTGTGTTTTTATCTGTTTTTACGTTATGTACTGTAGAGGATTGATACATCGTATCAATCCCTTTGGCGTGTTTTTATATATTATTGTATTACTCTTGACTACTCAAAACGCAAACTTTACTCTTTTAGTGTTTTAAGCCATCCTATAGGTATTTTCAATTGGCATCAGAGCAGGTTGCTGAACATTCTCAGTAGGATCTGACATACCTCATGATGGAGAGTGCCGCAGACTCAGTTGTGCATCTACCATATTTTGATGGGTACAACTATGGTGCTTGGAAAGCTAAAATGAAGTCTTTCTTATGGTCTCTGGATGAACGTGTCTGGAATACTGTGGTTCCTGGATTTTCTGAACCCACAAAAATAACTGGAAAAGGAGATGAAGAACGCACACTTCCTAAACCCAGAGAGGAATGGACAAATGCAGAAGTCACACACAGTACCAATAACTAAAAGGGGTTAAACGCTTTATTTACTGCAGTTTCTCCTGATAAATTTGAATACATCTCAGATTGTGATACATCTAAGGAAGCTTGAGATATTTTGCAGGTAACTCATGAAGGAACCGACATAGTAAAAGGCGCCAAGCTCCAATTATACAACCTACAGTTTGAAACACTGGTGATGGATGATAATGAAATGTTTTCTGAGTTTTATGCTAAATTGTGTGTTATTGTGAATGCTTGTTCAAACTTAGGTGGAAAAATTTCAGAAGATAGAGTGGTGAAAAAGATTCTGAGATCGTTGTCTCAACGATTCCAACCGAAGGTCACAGCTATTGAAGAGATCCGTGACTTGAACACCTTGAAAGTTCAAGAACTCATAGGGTCCATACAAACCTATGAGATGAAACATCTAGCTCCTAAAAAGAGCAAAAGTGTTGCTTTTAAGGTTGTGAATGAAGAAGATGATAGACATTCAAATGAAGATTGCAGTGATGAGGAATTAACGATTCACACAAGACGATTCATGAACTTTCTCAAGAATCAGGATCCAAGAAGTCGAGATTCAAAAGGTATAAATTCTAAAAATAGATTTGTTGACTATACTGATAGTGGGTTTAAATCTCGCAGGTCAAATGAACGAAAGAATCTAAGAGAAAAGGTCCAATGTTTCGAATGTGAAGGCTATGGACACATATCTTCAGAATGTGCCAACACTTTAAAGAAGCAAAAGGATGGGACGAATAAGGCCCTGCATACTACTTGGAGTGACAGTGATTCTGACACTGAAAATAATGAGAAGGCCATTGCACTTATCACGACCGTAAGCTTGGACGAAGCATCAAAGAAAAATGATGATGAAGGATTGGATATTGAATTTGTGCTGGAAAAATATGATGATTTACTAGCTGCCTCTCAGAAACTCAGCAAACAGAATGCAGAACTCGTCAAAACTGTTGCTGTGTTAAAACTAGACAAAAGCAGGATTGCTAATGAGCTGCCATCCTTTGATACTGCTCCCAGAATGGTAAGTACATGCATGAACGAAAAAATTTAATTTTTAGAGAAAAAATGCGCTGACCAACATATATTAATTGTCTCCTTGTCCACTGATAAACAAAACCTGGAACTTGAACTTAAAAATTCAAAAGAAAGGATTATTGCTTTGACTATTGGTGCAGAAAAAGTCGACAAAATGATTAGTATGGGAAGAAGAGATTGTGATAAACTTGGCTTGGGATTTGAACAAGTAATAAGTCTTCCGTCTAAAACAAAGTTTGTCAAATCCTCTTTACCTGTTGAGCCTTCTGCCGCTCATGAAATCAAGAAATTCATTCCAATTTGTCACTTTTGTGGAACTCGCAGGCACATAAGACCAATGCAATAAGCTTCGAAACGAATTTGTTCGTTCAAACTCTCATGTCATGGGTGGAAAAGTAAGCGTCCAACATAAGATTTCAAATCTTATGAAAGAGGTAAACCGCTTATCCAAACTATCTTATTTTCATAGTTTGTCATCAACTAAGACAAAGTTAGTTTGGAGGAAAAAGGAAAATCATAATTGTATGTTGGCCTCTACTAATGTTGTGCATGAACTTGTTGCTTTAGAAAATTTGGATCTTAAATGTCTTGTTGCAAAACCTGTGGATAATCTTCGATTTGACACTCTTAGAAAGTCTTTAGGTATTTGTTCTTTTGAATAATTTCTTGTATGCATGCCAAAAGACTCCAGCTATTCTCTGCTCTGTTTTTGAAATTGGATTAAAATTCTAAGTATTTCGTTCAGCACGTGCAAGGATTGATAAGTGATATCAATCCTATCGAGGTCTGGAAGCTTTTGCTGATCTTAGATTGGATTTTTGGCATTGGATCACTTAGGATAGATTAATATTGGGTTTATGTGAATGGTTCTCGACTGTCCTTGTTTTTAATAAAGTCAATTAAATGATCTTTATATTAAATCTCGTGTCTCACGTATAGCACATACACTCTAATCTTGCTTAATAATTTTGAATGAATCCTCACCTTGCCTTTGTCTTGATACTAGATTGACATTGTACTTTTTGCTGCTGAGCTCACAAACTTATAACTTCTTTTTAATTAAAAGTAAAATAAAATAAGTGCTTGATCATGGTGAAGTAACCGGGCCTCTTGTCTAACCAACGTCGAGGTTCGCGTCAAAAAGCTTTGATCTTGTACACATTGTTCTTCTTTGTAGCCTACATGACTCGGGTTTGTACATCCTAGGGGTGCTGTAACACCCGTTGTCTTAAAGTCAACTGACTTGAGCACATTGATTTAACACCCGTTACATGGGTCTTGTAGAAAGCTTGATAAAGTTAGCATTTAAATCAATAAATAAATAAAAAATTAAAAAAAAAGGGTGAAAGTGGTGACCTCTGTATACATTTTGTATGTGCTTATTCTATGTTCTTGGCTTGCTCTTGGTTGGTTTTTTTCTTTGTTATTAAGCAAGTTTAGTCACATAACACGAGATATGGCTTTGATATTTACTCATTTGATGGACTTTATTTCTTACAAATACTTTTGATTCTCCATTTTATAATCCTTGTATTTGATTAAACCTTTGTGATTTGATGTGCCTTAAATCCTAAAAGGCTTTGCTTCAAATGCTTCTAGACATATATTGGTATTGGCTTTGTTTATCTATCCATATGCATAGCGTTGGCACGCACTCATGAATTTTTTTTGACATGTATGAAGAAGGAGTCTTGGTATAATGTTGGCATAGTCATTGATGTTTAATTATGTTTCTTTTATTTTCTTGTTTAAGTTTATTCCCTTTATTTTTCGTCTTATTTTTCTTGGGTGCTATAATTGTTTTCATCCTTGGCATATCTTTAGGGGGATAGTTATTGTTCAAGTGCACAAGATGACATGATCATATTTACATTTCTTTTCAAACATAGTGTCGTTTTATGCTTCTTGTTTAATGGTGCAGCTAGACTTTGCTTCATGTTGCATCTTGACCTTTGCATGAATATCAGAATTACTAAGACAGATGCATGATAAACTGAATATGAGGATTGCAATGTCATTATCAATCCTGTCAATTGCAGACCTGTAGCACATCATGTTTACAAGAATATTTCTTTGGAAATATGTATCACAAACTGAAAAGCATAAGACACATAAACAAAGAGGTGAGCATCATATATTGTTTATACGATTGAAACTAGCATTGTGTGTGTTGTTCTTATAGGTGAAGATGGCTATGCACGATGAGACTGTTGCACCCTTTGAACATCTAAAATCCGACACACTGATCTTTTCAATCTGTCTCTCCTTTAGTGACGACAAGACAAAGTTCCTCAAGGACTTCAATGGTTAATCTTTCTTATTTTTGGTGATAATCATTCTCTCCTATTTTTGCCACTTTAATGCACACTACTGTTATCCCTCTTTTTTTGGATTCTGACATCTTGCTATTTCTTGGGCATTAAATTAGTGATTTCGTTATGATATTATATTTGCTCCCTTATGTTCTTTTCTTGCCCTTTGGATTTCCTGACAAAAAGGGAGAGAGATGATTTTGTGGAATTATGATAAAAAGTGGGAGAGATTGTGTTGTAGAATTATGGGGGAGTGATGTTGTAATTTTGTTTTGAATTACATTTCTTCTCCCACATGCTTCACTACTTTTGTTGTTTCATAAAGTGCAGGGATTCAGAGCTTGGAGTTTAGAGTAGGATTTCAATTGTTAAATCCCATGCAAATTTTTTTGAGTTGTAATAGGTGTTTTGTCTAGGAAATGCCAAATGGGGAGATTGTTAGTATTGATTTTGTGATTGGCATTTCCTAGAGACAAATTAGACTGAGTATAGATGGTAAATTAGTTGTAATGGTGACTGTCAAAATTCCAAGATATGCTCTGAAGGCTCATATATCAATCAACGATCACTAAGGTAAATTCTTCATTCAATCATGCATCTTAATTGTGGTATTTCAGGCATTATTTCAAAGTCACAATCTGTTTAACATTTTGATTAAGAAGACTTTTTATTTTAAGAAAGATTAAATTGCTTTCCTGTTCTGAACTTTAAAAAGTATTCTTTGATTGGAAATCAATTAGTCTGATTTTGGAAAATTAATATATTGATTAGGAAGTAATTGATTTTGTTTCTAGTTTTGAAAACCTTTATAAAAAGCAAGGCTAGGGTTTTCATTAAGATACAACTTTCAACAACCAGAGTATTTCTTGAGTTTTTATATACACAAAAGAAAGTTGATGTGCTTTATTTTCCAGAAGGATAAATCATCAAGAGTAAGATTATCTTGGTGATTTATTTTTGTATTCATATTGCATTCATTTGCATGTTCGGTGACTCATACGGTTGAGGGCACCAAGACCGTTGTGGCGGTTTTTCTCCGGTGAGCTTGAATCGATCGTGACCAGTATCGGATTCAACATAAGGAGAGCTGGAAGAACTCCGGCGAGCTTGAAGCAATCGTGATCAGTATTGTGTTCAACATAAGGAGTGTCGAAAGATCATCCCGCAAGAAGTTGAGTTACGAAGAAGTTGGTACGTTGTCTAGAGTGTCTAGGACAAGTTTGTATACTTCTTGTAATCATCGTTTTATAGTGGATTTGCCTTGGACTATCAGGTCCCGTGGATTTTCCCCATAGGTGGGGTTTTACCACGTAAAATAATTTCTGTGTTTTTATCTGTTTTTACGTTATGTACTGTAGAGGATTGATACATCGTATCAATCCCTTTGGCGTGTTTTTATATATTATTGTATTACTCTTGACTACTCAAAACGCAGACTTTACTCTTTTAGTGTTATAAGCTATCCTATAGGTATTTTCATATGGTTCTCGCAGAAACAAGTGTGATGTCTTCACTTCCACACTGCACATGGATAAGTTGGCTGAAAACATTATCAATGCCTAATAGTTGATAAAGAGCAGCATATATATAAACACCTTCATAAAAATGCAAGAGGATCGATGATGAAAAGTAATAACCATTCTCTGATTCTGTATTGTCTTGCAAGGTAATTCTTCTATTTAAATGGAAGTAATTAAGGGCCTATTTGGTATTTAACTTGAATTCAACTTTTTAAACTCAAAAATAGAATTTGAGTCCAAAACAAAGAAAACTTGTTTGGTAGCTCTATTTTTAAAAACTCGAAGTTAAGAACAACTAAAAAAACACCTCAATTATTAAAAACAAAAAAATATCTATTTTTTCAGTTTTTCTCTAACAACCTACAAGTTCTCAAAATTTTAAGATTTGAAAACAGTTTTCAAGTTGCATACCAAACAAGTTTTTGAATCTTAATAATAGATTTAAGAACTCCTCGTTTTTAAGAAAAATTGAAGTTTTTGAGTTCCCTATTTGAATAGAATACCAAACGCCCCCTAAACATTTGAAACTAATTGGTTTATGTGCTAGATTGGGATTGAAACTTTTCCTCAAGTTGTCCTCTTGGAGCTTATTGCTGCAAGATCTTTATACAATATTAGTTGGTTAATATTGTGTGCACATAAATTTTGCAAGTGATCATAAGTTAATTTGCTAGAAATCAAGCCTCCTGAATTATTGAAGGATGAGTTTTGATTGGTACAGCTGATTTATATAGACATCACTTTATTTCCTTCTTTTATGTATAATCACCTTAGCTTAGACATAGCGTCTAGCGATTCTTTCCTTTTTGTAAATCTTTCAGATTGTTATATACTTGTAAACTTACGAGTACAGAAAACATTCACCATATTTTCTTATAGCAATCTAAGAAAGCTTCAACTTCAAGAAAGTTTCAATCACAACCTAGCATAAAAGTTTATCAAATTCCACCAAACTCCCTTTTAACTTGTTGGAATTAACTTAACATTTTATTATTAGACATAAATAACTCATTGAAAAAAAAAAAAGTTGAAACAGAGTTCACATATGTCACTTTAAGAATAATTAAACAATTAATGTGGATTAAGCCTCTATACCACCAATTTTTTTCGTCTGAATAATTTATGTTTAAAAAGGTACAATCTCACATTTGAAAACTATACAAAATAAAATACAACATATAATGTGTGATTTCACTAGCCTTGATGACTTTTTTGCTGAAACCCCACACCTTGTCGGGAAATACGGGTGGTTGGTCCTCTTTGAAATCTTAACAATTTATATGTTGGGGTCCGACCGCTTTGAACATTAGGAACAAAAATACAACTAGATCAAGAGTTGGGAAATGTTAAATAATTGTTTTCTAAGATGTTCCTTCCGCATTCCATAAGGGCGTCAATCTCTTATGTCTCTGAGACTCTAACCCATCCAAAATAAAAAGAAAAGAAATTCACCATATATCAAGAAGTAAATGAATGACCACTTATTTTTGGAGGAGGCGGAACTCCAGATCTAGGTAGGTGAGTCAATGCGGCTCATAGAATTGGTTATTGCGTGCACAGCAATTCTGCAAGTCATCAGTTACAAAAGCTGAGCCCAATATTGATGAGGATCCCAGGTCCCAAGTTGTTGCGTTCTACATACAAGGGACTGTGTTTTTGCACTAGCCCAAACCACCAAACCACCAATCACAATTCTAAGTTAGCTCACGTATGTTCATAGATGCTACTGTGGAACTGCAATGTGGACCTGCAAATACAACGATTGCTCTTGCGAGAACCATCAAGAATGGAGTGTTTTCAATCTTGCTAGCTAGATCCTTTGATGTCCTCTGCTGGCTCTTTGATATCTTCTTGCAGGCTAGTGCTTACCACACCGCTTTCGAGCTGCAATGCCACTTTGTCCACACAGCCTTCCTCATCGGCGTTGCAGGTCATTAGACCAACTCAACCTCACAAGGTCTATCTCTTCGATGTTTTTCCAGTTCGGTTCATGCCCAAAGTCTAAGCTTAATACAAATGAGCAAAGCGTTTAGGGAATTAACGTAATTAACCTCAATTTGACTAGCTAGCTAGGATAGCCTATGTATGTCACGGGATGACTTTTTCGGAGTCTTCCTTCCGTGCGGCCTTAGACTTGATCGCCTCTCGAACAAGCTAAGTCAGCCTCCTTCCTACAATACAAGATCGAACCAAGCAAAGAACAATCGCAAGAGCAAGAACAATAAGAATGCTTAACAGAGTTTGGGAGAATATATGCTTGTATTGCTACTCAAATGCTTTACAAGTTGTGAGGTGAGGATACACAATGTGTCATCCCCCTTATATACTATCCCTATCCCACCTACCAACACAGTAGGTGGGTAAGATACAATGTCACCTACCAACATCTACCAACTACTGTCACCAACTGTAGTCTACCAACTACTATACAACGAATCTGGACATGTGGGCTAAGAGGTCTAGCATGATCAATCCAACGGGTTGGGCCTTGAACATGCGGGCCGTGACATT